GTCATGTTCGGCGACACTGGCCACGGCATTATCATGACCCTCTTCGCCCTGTGGATGGTCTGGAAGGAGCGCCAGCTGGCCTCAGTGAAGGATGAAATCTTCTCAATGTTCTATGGCGGACGGTACATTATTCTGCTGATGGGACTGTTCAGCATGTACACTGGACTGATCTACAATGACATCTTCAGCAAGAGTATTAACCTTTTTGGCAGTTCATTTTCTACAAACGAACCGGACGTTATAAATGGAACAATTATATTTAACAATATAACACAGGGCTTAATTCCTTACGAAAATATGGATCCTAATTATGTTTACTGGTTTGGCATTGATCCGGTAAGTTGGAGCAATTAGTGTGACAACTTGTTTGGTCAATATATGTTTTTTTCAGGTTTGGCAATTGGCTCAGAACAAGGTCATCTACTTGAACACTTACAAAATGAAAGTCTCTGTTATTTTGGGTGTACTGCAAATGTTCTTCGGTGTCGTTTTAAGCCTTTTCAACCACATGTGAGTGCCTTTTTTGCTCAAACAATGTACATTATTAATTTGCTTTTTTTCAGCCATTTTCGCAAGCCAGTCAGCATTATGTTTGAGTTCATTCCTCAGTTGATCTTTCTGATCGGAATCTTTGGCTACATGGACTTTATGATTATCTGGAAATGGTTCAACTACAGCAGTTCAGACTCTGCTAAAGCTCCATCAGTGTTGATTACGTTGATCAACATGTTTATGTTCCGCATGCCCTTAGATAATGATCCTCCTTACCTTAAAGAAGAAATGTTTGACGGACAGTACAGCATAATTCAGCCTGTCTGCTTGATACTGGCCGTAGTCTGCATTCCCATTATGTTGATTGTCAAGCCAGTGTACAACCACTGCATCAAAAAGAGGTGAGTTTGAGTTGTGCTTCTTTTTGTGGCTAACAGAGAAAACCCCATCCTTTCCTCACAGTGCCGCTCCTACTGATGATGTTGAAATGAAAATTCACACAAATGGTAGAAAATCCATTGCGTCAGTGGACAGTGATGAAAACGGCCCTGACTCGAACCCACTTCACCGCTCTAAAGCATCCACATCTCACAGTAGTGGCGGTGGTGGTGGTGGCCATGACGGCCATGATGGCGATGGCAGCTTCGGTGATGCCTTCATCAATCAGGCTATTCACACTATTGAGTACTGTCTCGGCTCAGTCTCCCACACTGCCAGTTACCTTCGACTGTGGGCTCTGAGTTTGGCTCACGCACAGCTCAGCGAAGTGCTCTGGAATATGGTCATGAAAAATGGATTTATGGGTATTATTAGAAAACTTATAAGTTATTTGATTAACTGAGTGTTACGTTTTTGCTCATTCAACAGAATTTCACCATGGTCCTCCAAACTACTTGAACATTGTTAGTGGTGCGGTGATGTTTGTCGTTTTCTCAATTTGGGCTGTACTCACAGTTGCAATTCTCATTGTCATGGAGGGACTTTCTGCATTTTTACATGCGTTGCGATTGCATTGGTAATTGTTAAAATGACTGTAATGTAATTGGGCTTTATAATTTTGACACGCTTACTATTTTCAGGGTTGAATTCATGTCAAAATTTTACTCAGGCGCTGGCATCGTTTTTATGCCATTTTCATTTAGAGTTATCATTGATGAGCTCTAAAAAATGTTTGACAAGCTGATTTTAACTAATCAAGAATCACCATTTTTAATTTACTTACATTATTTATATTAAATACTTTTACCGTTGATTTAACCGAGTCAAGATTATTGCAAATTAAAGGATGAATGTTACAGTTCAATTTACTGCACATTTTTTGCACTAAAGTGTAAAGTAAAGTTAGCACTCGTGAAATAAATGAAACTGATTTTAATTATTAAGAATGTTGACAAAGTACCCAGACAAAATTATTTCAACATTCTCTGTCATTTCATTTATGGTACTTGTGACAAAATAAATAAACGGTCGATCAATGTCCAATTGTGAGTAGCGACTGCCGTACTTCATCGTTGTGCCACTTTCGGGCTCTAAACGAACTAAATTTTCATAGTATATCAATTGCTTGAGTTGATTTATAGAAACGGTTTGGTTTTTATCAGAACCAGATCCGGAATCAACGGTAAAGTTTGTCAAATTATTTTTGGTAAGAATCTGCGTCAAGTTGACGGCGTTTTCGCCAAAGAACTTGGGCACTGTCAGAGTCAGAGGGCGAACATTTTCATTGAGCATTTCAAGGTAGCTAGGCAGTTTGCTTCCAGTGGTCAGGTACTTCATGACTGAAGCCAACTGACCTGAATCAGGTTTAATAATGACCAAATTGTATTTGGGATTCAAGTAGGGTATTTGCACAAATGTTGACTGAAGTTTCTCTGAGTAGTAGCAGGGAAAGTTGTTGCGAGAAGTCAAGGCTTCAACGGCGACTGTTTCATTTGAAGAGGAGGTAAAGTTGAGTGCCCTATCAGTAGATTGAAAAACAGGTGCGAAAGTCTGTCGGAATTGGAGGATAGAAAGAAGTTGATGTGTTTTTGGCAACGACTGAGCAGAAAGTATGGAAAAGTTTGATCTGAAATAAAAAGAAGTACAAGTTAGAAAATAAAAAACAATGTGCACTAAAGTACGCTTATCTTACCTCCAAAAGTACGCCAACCTCTTCTCTTCTGATTTGCTGTCAATCCAAAAAGGCTCCAGCCGCCCTTTTAACTTGCCCTTCTCCTTGACATCTCCAAACTTGCTCTTGTTAAGAAAGATCAGCCCATCAAGTCGGTTCATCTCCTCGCCACCTCCGGTGTACGCCTCAAAGTGCTCAAACAGTCGCTCCACCTTCTGAACGCTGTTCAGTCGAGTGAGATTCTTCTCCGGCAGCCGCATTCGACTGAGGTACTTCCGACAGTCGTACTTGGATTTGCCCTTTGACTCATTGCACATGTGGGACAGTGAGTCGATGAGGAAGTTGTACTGAGAGAGCAGCAGCTGCTTCCTCGAGCTCAGCTCGTCGGGGGAATAGAGAAAGGAGGTGGCCGTTGTCTTGGCGGTGCTGTTCTCCGAGGGCGTCAGCGAAAGTACTGCCATTTTGAGTGCCAGCGGAGAGATTAGCTGGTTGGTGTGAGCCGTATCGAGGAAGCTTTTCAGCAGCTTGAAGGCGTACTGATTGGAAGTACTGCACCGTGGAGCGCTGCAAATGGCTGTAATCAAAAGCAATGAGTATGGGATTGAAAGAGGATAAACTCCTGCAAACTATTCCGCCAACTTACCGTAAATAAGCGCTAGGAAAATACTTTTCTTCATTGTTGTCTCATAGCAGGTGCTGATGCGTTTTTGGTCAAACCGAAAACGACTGCCTTCACTTCAGCTTTATATAAACTGTTGACTCTCACTTTTAGCACTTGCACCTAAAGAGAGGTGTAGCCGACTTTTCTTTACTGTAACAAAGTAATTTTTTTGTTTCTCCTTTTTCTCAGTTCCGCAATCTCCCCTCAAAGCACTTTCTCTGTAATTGTAGGCGTCTTTATTTAGACTTCTTTGATGCAAGAGGTAAGCAGCCTCAGTCATTGACCACAATTATTTAAATTAATTGTTAGCTTTCATTCTTTTCTCTCTTCAAATTACACTCAAATCTTCTGTAAACCTGTTTTGTTTCCCGGACAATTACCAGCTACCGGTGCACTCTTATCTCCATTGATCTTCCTCCACGTTAGCAGATTACTACGTGCTAATTGTTAAAGTTCCTATCAGTTTAATTAAATATAAACAAAAACTAGCTCGAGTTGTTAGAAAACCTTTTATTTTATTTTAGTTTGATGAGAAAACAGAAAGGAGATGTCTGTAAATAAAACAGTTAGAACTTCAGTTGCAAATTCACTGCTGGCACTAAAGTATCCACCAAGCTGACTTTATCATTTTGTGCATCGGTTGAAGCAGCAGCAGCAGTATCTGGTTCAGCTACACTCTGCAGTTCAGCTTTCATAAAGTTAGAGCCGAGTGTTTTCATTTCTGAAAACAAAGATGATTCAGTTGCTTCGGCCTGTGTCACTTCAGTGAGAATAGTTTCGGCGGTTGCCGGAGCATTTGAAATGTTAAGTGCAGTCATATTGCTCAGCAGTACAGAAGTTGCATTCAGAGTCTCAACTGAAACTGGAGAGCTCGATGACACTGGAGCGAGCATTTCCATGGTGGTAACAACAACGGCAGCGGCAGCAGCGGGGACTGATGGCTCAGTGATGATCTCTTGCGAGGATACCTCTTCATTGACGATATTCAAAACTGGAGTAACTGGTAACACTTCAGAAACGACTACTGGCTGAAGAGCAGGCGAAACAGTTTCTACGATTTTAAGATCAGAAGATGTTGGAGGCAGAGAAAACGGAACTTTAGTGATAACCTCAGCAATAGGTTGAAGATTTTCTGATTTGTTCAGAGAAACGAGTTCATTTGCCGCTGATGATATTTCAAACGTTTCAGGGATCAAAGTGGCAGTTTCAGAAGAAACAACTGGCACTGAACTGTTCAACTTTAAAAGCTCATTCACTGATGGCTTGAAGCCAATTGGAACTGTTTCCTCGGGAGCTGGTAGAAGGCGAGAAGGAGCTTTGGACAAAGTTTCAGTTGCCTTTTTGCTAAATTCAAGCAGATTGATGCCAACACTAGAAATGTTTTTTCCAGTCCTCTTAATCTCATGTCCCATTTGAGCCATTTGCTTTCCAATGAGCTCGGCATTGTTTCGAATAGCAAACAGCACTGCACTGTGGTCTGGGTCAACGTGCGACACTCGAGGATCGATGGGCAAATCAAAGAGAGAAGTTTGTCGAGTCGCAGGCACAATCTGCGGATTGATGGATCGGGCCAACTGGTTGATAAAGTGCGTGTACATGCGAATCGGTGTGGCAAGGGCAGTTCCGATCACTGGAAAGAAAAAAATTATGCATTTAGTTGGGTGCTCATCAAAAATATTTTTGCACTACTTACAAGCGCCTTTGGCGGCAAAGAGCTCCGGTAAAGTGGAAGCTGTTTTAGAGATGCGATTNTGGGCAAATCAAAGAGAGAAGTTTGTCGAGTCGCAGGCACAATCTGCGGATTGATGGATCGAGCCAGCTGGTTGATAAAGTGCGTGTACATGCGAATCGGTGTGGCAAGGGCAGTTCCGATCACTGGAAAAGAAAAAATTATTCATTTAGTTGGGTGCTTATCAAAAATATTTTTGCACTACTTACAAGCGCCCTTGGCGGCAAAGAGCTCCGGTAAAGTGGAAGCTGTTTTAGAGATGCGATTATTAAAGTGCATCCACGGTTTGATGAGGGCATTGGTAATATTGGCAAGACCACTGTTAAGTTGAACTTTGCTAGGATCAAAGGTTGTGCCTGAGGGTGAGCTGGAAAATGGATCGAGGATTGACTTGGGCACTAGTTTGTCAGTTTGAGCGTCTTTTTCACGAATTTCAGGTACAATGTTTCGGCGAGCGAGAATTTTCCGGTACACTGGTAATTGAAATATCGGCGGGAGCTTGACGGAGCGAATTTCGTTATCCTCAATGGTGTCATTGGTACTCTCTAGCGCATAAATGCCGGCTAGGACCAGAAAGACCAGAAAAATGGTCAATTTGAACATTTCTGCTGTTGCGTGGTCAGTGACTTTAGCGTTCAAGTGATTTGCCCAGTGTGTGTGTGTTTGAAGTGGTTGCAGAAGGCAAATGGAAACGGCATGAGAGTTGAAGGAAACGGAATACCCTAGAGTGCCATGTGAGTGTGAGTTGGTCTGAGTGAAATGCTGTAGTACAGAGGGGGGAGAGATAAGAGTATCCTAAGTTTGACCTCAGGGCATGGTAGGGGGTACGAGTGCATTCTCAGCATAATAAGCGTGAGGATTATTGGCAGAGAAGATAAGGCACTTGATCGTTTGCAACAAGTGTGCACGTTCTCGACTTTTTATTTTTGCAAAGATTTTTTTTGCAAAAAAATTTTACAAAAGTTACAACAATAAGCAAAACTAAAATGATTTTTTTCAATATTATTGATTTTAATCAAATTTTTACTTTCTNGATTTTTTTTGTGCAAAAAATCTTTACAAAAGTTACAACAATAAGCAAAACTAAAATGATTTTTTTTCAATATTATTGATTTTGGTCAAACTTTTATTTTCTTGTTCATTAAAAAATGTGGTTTTCTAAAAACATTGTAGCACTTGCACTTTTGCAGCACCTTATCTTAATCCGTGGCCTACGTGACTATGGCCCTAATGAAGGCGGGTGACTGTGAGAGAGAGAACGAGTGAAAGAGTGAGAGGACAGGTTTGACAGGTCTATTGACTCAGGTGACTCAGAGCCGGAGAGCCGGGTCCGCAGACAAGTGTCTGTGGCCCAGTGCAATGTGTGTCATATCAGGTCAGATTGGCTGAAATGCTTGCTCAGTGTCAACGGCAGTGCCTCTAGAGATTGCTGCCTCTGCCTAGGTCCTTCACTTTCTCTCCTATGTCTACTTTTTTGAGGAGCAGTCACAGTTTGACAGTGAGTTTCACCACAAGCACAAGTTTCACAAGTTTTGAACTGGACCCTTGATGACTGTTACGTTCATCACCCCATTTAGAGTCGAGCATCGATAACTGGCACTGCTATAAAGCCACCCGCAGTTTGTTTCATTTGTTTGGGTTTAAGCATCACCATCGTCGGCATC